CAAAAGGTAAACATGGACTCGCAAGAACGTCTGGGAGGTCGTTGACGTAGATCAGAAACAGGAGTGGTCCCAAGACGGAGCCTTGAGGAACTCCAATGGAGACCGGCGCTGGAGAGGAATAAGTTGAGCCTATTCTCACTCTGAATGACCTGTCTGATAGGAACGCCTTGATCCGCCTTGAATCCCGTAAGCCTCGAGTTTGTGGAGCAGCGGGACGTGTGGGTCCCTATCAAATGCTTTTGAGAAGTCGAAAAATATGGCATCCGATATGAGTCCTTCGTCCTTGGCTTGGGTTGAGCTGTCCATAAACACGAGCATGTTTGTTACGCAAGAACGGTTTGGGAGAAATCCGTGTTGAGCTGGAGATATCAGATTGCTGGAAGTAAGGTGATCTAGGATGGCTCGCTTCAGAATGCGTTCCATCACCTTGCACGGCACGCTAGTGAGGCTTATAGGCCTATAGCTGCCAGGCGATAGTCGGTCACCAGTTTTGTAGATTGGCGTGACAATCGCTTCCTTCCAAGCAGGAAGAATGCGGCCTTCGTCAAGCGACTGACGAAACACCAAGTGTAAATGGTTTGCCAGTGTGGAGGACGTTTCTTTCAGGATCCTCGGATGGACCTCGTCGGGTCCCAATGCGCAGAATGGGTTGATCTTGTCCAAGAGTTGACGAATGTCCTCCACCGTGAAGACCAAGTCGGTTAGAGGCTGTTCGTAGTTTCTCCTTGACAAGATGTGATGTGACGAGGACGCTGGGGCTGAGTATAGACACGCATAGTGTTCTCTGTAAGCCTCAGATACCACTGTTGGGTCATTCGTCTCCGTTTCTTGGCCAGCATTCAACTTTACATTTGCAATGCCATTGCTACAGATGTGGGTTCAGATATGTTTCACAGAAAATTGGCTACTTTCCGGGTTTCATCCTTCACAGGGTTTTAGGTGGCGCAGAATTAATATGTGAAAAATGGCTATTTGGCATTTGTGTGTACAGTGGATAATCGATGCAACAACGCTGTTTTTCGTTTTGGTTTGGTGTACACAAATGCATCAAACGGCCAGCAGAACTAACAGAATGATGAGGAATCCGAAGAAGCTAGTGAGTCTAGTGCATCTACCAACAGCAAGCCGTACGCGAAGCACCGGTGCGTTTTCGTTTAAGGGAACACGGGAACCAACTTAAAGTCAACTCTCACCATCCTGAACAAAATCAGGAGGTTTCCAAGTTCTCGTACGATCAACCAATTGTAAGTAGAAGGCTAATAAAACAGAAGCTGGGCCACTACGTCGCCCTCCGGAGGAATTAAACGCGGTCGTGAAGTGCGGCAGTTTGCAGCCGGTGAATTCGGCAAGCTCCTCACCAATCAGGACATAAATAACTAACGCCGGAAATGTCAACCACCACTGTTGAGTAAGTTCTGGATAGCTGGTTCTGAATCGAATCCTGCTCTGGCTAAGATTCGCAAGTTTGAACGAGTGCTTACAATGCAGCCGACAGAAGGTCACTACACCCACAACCGTCTCTCCAGATGACGGCAGACAGTGCTGGGATGACGCTCCTCGGACGCAGTAACTGTCGATGAGGCACATGCCATATACCAATCCGGGTGATTTTTGCTGAAGCAACTGTGTGACCCGTGTATACGAGCCAGGCGCGCCCGTGCTGACAGAGAGAACGGGAACCGGGGACCGGTTATGGGAAGCAAACAGTTCAGTCGTAGATGAACATTTTTTTGCAGATTCAGACATATGACTGGTAAACAATACCAAGTGAAGATAGTTGTTGTGGACTAAATGGTGCGCAAGGGGGCGGCCAGTGCCGAGTTCGGCTGCGATATCATATTGTGCTAATTCCATACTCTCAAATCCACTACAGTAGTCGTCTGGTTACCCAAAAGTTTAATTAACCGGGAGTGCGTTGCAAAAAATAAAAGTAATAACGCTGAATTGAGCATACAGCAATAAAGAGGTCAGATGGAAATGACTCACGGTGAATTATTCTCTTTAGAACACTTCGTCGTTGGCCCAGGTCTGCGAATAAATAATAATCCAATAATGGTTGTCTAGGGGTCCCCTTTTGAACACTTCCCACATGTAATGACTTCCGAAGATAATGTGAAATATTTGGATACCAGAGTTAGCACACAAACCTCGCGAATGACTGCTGTATGTGCAAGCGAAATCAGGGGAAAGTCGAAGCGCGTGATCACGTTTGTACTGGTGTACTTGGGTAAAAATCGCGTTTTTTGTGGTTTTTTATGTTCAACCAAAAGCGGTTTATTCAGTTGACAAAATACGTAATGTTACGTAATAGGAGCAAAATAAAGGTACAGAACACCAAACTACTCCTCTGCTATGGTGTTAACCGTGAAGGGGAAAACGCTCGAATAATCTTAGTAACGAATAAAAGAGCTGCTCACTTCGAGTTTCTTTATCAGCTAGGTGCTGAGGGAAACAGACGCGTCGTTCGGAACGACTAAAGGAAGCGGTAAGGTTGGCGGTGGGAGTGTCTTGGGTGGGAACGTGTGCTGGAGGGGTGGCACGATTGCTGGATGTGGTGGCAGGTGCTTCACTGAAGGAAGGCTTTAAACGATCGATGGATACGGTATCATGTTCTCGTTTCTGGGTTAAACGAAGTAGTTGGGGTGGCGTTCAACGACCTTGAAGGGACGATCACAACAGAGTTGAAGGGGTTTCCTCGTTGCGTCATGTCGAGCAGATACAAATGTGAACGGGGGAAATCGGTCGAGAGGTGTTTCTTTCGCGTTGATCGTCTTGTCGGTGTCGCACAAAGTTCAAGCATGTACTGTTTCAGACGGGTGACGAATGTGACGGTTGATTCGGGCTATGCGCCAGGAGGGGAAACCAGTTCATCGGCTTAACATAAAGTTGCACCTTTTTTCCGGTTTGGCTAGTGACCAGCAAGGAGTTTCCCCAATGATTTAGCGAATAGCAATTAAAATGAGAGGTTAAGAAGTGGACAATGAAGATGTGTTAATTTGGGTGGTCAGTGCAACTTTGAGCCGGCGATGGAACCACTCAACCAGACCGTTGGAACAATGGTGATACGCGGTAGACGAAGAGCGACGGAAACCGAATAGTGTAGAAAACTCACGGAACCGATTACATTGAAATTGTGAATTGCGATCGGTAGTAATGATGGGAGGTACGCCAAAGACTGCCGTTGAACCTGGAGTATCCGAAATGAGTACCAAAGAGTAAAACGATCAATCATGGCAAGACTATGAGTGAAACCGTTTGATGGGGAAAGAGGGCGAAAGAACAAATACACCCTCAGCGTGTATTTGTTGGCTCCGGGAGTTAAACAGAACTGAGCTGAGATTTTATTGTTTTCTTCAGTCGTGTGGTACACAAACGTGTGTGAATCGAGCACCAGGAACTGCAAGTGAACTGACAGGTTGTATTGTATGCCGAGTTGCTTTACTGCGTTGAGATGCGATGCACTGTTTGGCCTAGAATGTGAGATCCTTATTCATGTAGGGCCACACGAAACTTGCACTAATCAACTTCCCGATTCCTGGATGAGAATGTCCATGAAAGTGATCATATCAACTCGTCAGAAAGCCTTGGGGACGACTGGGCGAGTTGTGCCGCTAGACATCACAAAAAATGGTTTCAGACTGGATGGTTAGGTGAATTGAAGAGACTTGAAATGAAGGGGAGGCTAGAATGGGCAAAAATTAGGATCACCATGCTTAAGGTTCACCAAATGTGTGGAAGGTTCAAGAGTGTTGGTATCTGGACGGGATAGGGCGTCTGCGACGACATTTTCTGATCCTGGAGTGTACCGAAAGTCGGTAGTGGATTGGGAAATATAGTCCAGATGACGTATCTCGTGTGGTGAATAGCGATCAGGTTGGGGTTGAAAGCATACGTAAGTGGCTTATGATACGTTTGAATGGTGAATGATATATCTTTCAATAAATGCCGGAAATGGCGAATAGGAAGGTAAATTGAGAGTAATTCACGACCAAAAGTACTGTAACGTGATTGTGCAGCCTGCATCGTCTGCGAGAAGAAGGCCAGTGGTCGAGATGCGTTT